TCGAAGTGTTGAACAGTTTTTGTTTAGTCACTGGATACTGTGCAAATCACATCCCCATGTACTTACAAATGAAGCAGGACTGATTGATCGTAAAATATATGAAGCAACATAGGGAAGTGTTGAACTGTTGTTAAGAATCTGACTAACTCTAACACGTAGGAGTAATTCAAATCATACCAAAACCATGGAGCTTATTATGTGGAGCACAGAGACAGTTCAACTGTCTTCTCACTTCCATTATTTCTTATGAGCACCACTAAAACCTTTTTCTTTACATGTTGATATGAGTGTACTTCTCACTTCTGATGATACACAAAGCATGTTCATCATGAATGATTCAAATGATATAAGGAGAGATACAAAGATAACAGCAAAATGAACAGGGAACTTCCAACTGAAATTATTATTAAGAATTCTGTCAACATTCCTACAGATGCTTCTGTGTATACATGCAATCAATATTTGTATAATAGTTCTGTCCATCTCTTTTCCTTTTATTCCCGGGGAAGAAAATTTGGCCCACTTATCATTTTCTTCTTTCATTGCCTTATTATTTAGATTGTGATAATCACTGAAGAAAGAACCAAAGGAAGAAGGCAGAGGGACAGAAGAGAAGTGACTGACTGGTTTGCTATCATGGAGCAGTTTGGGTTGAGAGTAGAAAGGGTGTCGGGGAGAGAGAGCCTTCAGGAACTACCACAGTGTGAGAGGGAACAAGATGAATCAGCTGCAATACAGAGGACATTTCAAGATAACAGCATTGTGTGTTAGGGAGTCTATGTTCTTTAATATTTTCTGAAAATTGAGAGCAAAGACTGAAATTGCTTTGTGTCACTTTTTGGTTGCCAGGCTGTTTCTATGAAAGTGACACAGTGCTGAGATTGGACCCCAGTACAATGTGGGATTTATTTGATTTACACATAAATAGGATTATATCAAATATACTTCTTTATAATTCTTTCATTTCAAAACCATATCATGCAGCTTCTACTCAAGTCAAATATTAATCAAAATGATTCCTTTTAGTGGATATATAGAATCTCTTCTATGATGAAAACTCCATATCTTTTAAAACTACTCTCATGTTTATGGATATTTTGGTTTCTAATTCTGATGAACATCTTTGTATATCTTTGCATTTTTATGTAGTGATTTCTTTGGAATAGAGTCAGAATTTTCTGCATCCAATGATGTGTACATTTTCAATCATACTATGCAATGCCAACAAAAAGTCATTCTCAATCATATTCTTACCACCATGTATTAGAATCCCACATCCACACAATCTCCTTTCTTCATTTGTTCTTGGTTGCTGAGACTCACCACAATGTTGACAACACACCAAGAACGTATCCAGGAAGAAAGGGATGCTCAGGGAGACCAAGGGGCTCTCATCTAAGATTTTGGAACTAAGATTGATTTGGGACAACCAGGCAGGGCGTTACATAGGGGTAGATGAGCTGGCATTTCTCCCAGGGCTACAGTGTAGCTTTATCCCCTCACCTGTCACACTGAAACGCCCACCTTCCCAGGATGCACCTGTGTCTCATCCCAGACCAGGAAGGAGGAGACACTAGGAAGACCACATGGAAATTAAACTCCCAAAAAGGCCTCCCAACACTGGGCTCCATGTGGATCCCACCCCAAATGTTTACTCAATTAAGACACCATCCCCTACCTCATAGAAAAGAGACTGATAACATGGGAGAGGCCCTTCTTTTGCTCTGCACCATACTTGGAGATCCTTCTCGGGCTTGGTTCCCTTCCCTCTATCCTCATAGGCAGTCCCACGGCCCATATGTGACAGGTATCTCTCCATGTTGGGCAGCCTATAGTCAGTCACACATGAACGTATGTTCGCTGTTCACTTTTTCTCTTTTAAATAAATCTTCCCCACTTGTGCACTGTGTTATGCTTCCGCTTTGAATTCTTATCTCTTTGGGCGCAAGAACCTGGAATCAAGATAAAGACACCAGGGCGCATAAGAAGATGGTTCTGGTCTCTTGGCCTCTCTAGAGGTATCACGTACCTGGAAGTGCAAAATGATAATGTGTCTGCCAGGCCACAAAGGATAGAATGCAGCCCAGAGAAAGAAGAAGATACCCAAAACAGGCAAACTGAAACTGTTTCCAGTTCAATCCATCTGTGTAACAAGGGCACAGAAACCCTGGAGATGAAATGATGTGTATAAAAGTACTTAGTGAGTCGCTAGAGATTAAGGCACTGTTTGAGAAAACAATTACTCCTTTCTCTCTGGATAATTAGGACGATGTGTTTTGGCTAACAGAAGGGAATTGTAGATGTTGTAGTTTGACCTTGCACTTGAGTGTCATTTTTATCATCAGTAACCTGATATCAAAATTCCTGGCAAATGAAGCATTTATCATAAAAAGTGCTGATACAGAGAGTACTCATCTGGACACTTGTCCTTGTGATAGCCTGATGATTAAAGGCCAGAATGTCCAAGTCCACCCTGCCTTGTGGCACTTGTACTATAGATATGACTTTTGTATTCTAAATCCCGTCCCTAGGGCTGTCTCTGACGTTGGCCCAGGAGGCCTGTTCACTTCGTGCTCACTTATGCTCATTTTGTCTCTAGAAAACCTGGCCCAGACAGCCTTTTCTGAGTTTATTTTACTAGCTCAGGTCCTGCTGGACTCTTAAGGATTTCAGGCACCAGAACAGCTGTGTTTAACCTTGTCCATTAAGTCCCTGTCCAAGAAACCCGTCCAAATTGGAAATGTTTCTGAAAACACACGTGGGACTAAATTATAAATGGAGAAAGCAGCTGGGATAAAATAAACTCAGTAGACAAAAGCTATCTTTTTCCATGTTCTTTTTTTTTTTCCCATAAGAAAAACAGGTTATTGGCTTTGATTTGATTCTTGGGTGAGATTTGGGGTTCTAATCTTTTTAAAAGCACTTATCTCATAATTTTTAATCAATAGTAAGAAGATGGGGAGGGCTCAGTCATCTGTTTGTTGTCATAAAGACCCAAATCTAATTTCTGCAGTTCTGCCTTTGGTGTTTTTATTTAGAACTAGAACAGCACAGTATAAGTGGATTGAAGGCCTTGCAATTAGAGCATGACTGGTGTTGCTTGGTTACTGCGACTCTCTGGGGATCGATTGTTAGGATATTTAGATGCACAGAAAAGCAAGCAGACAAAACTCCTTACCTGCACGGTAATTCCGTGAGGACAGGGCAGCTTCAAAGATCGGAAGCCTAGGTGTTGGGAGGATGCAGGGAATGGTTTCTGTTAGCAGAAAATGAATGATCATAATTCTTTTCAGCCATGTCTTTCCCCAAAAGGTGATCTCATCCTCTGAGAGCCACATCTGTTGGAAATGGCCATGTTCAATGTGATATGTCATATTGCTTTAGTTCTGGGGGTCCTCAGATGATTCGGCACCAGCCTGCTTTTCTTCAAAAGCTACCTAGGCAATCTGCAATGTAAGAGGACAGGCACCTTCTAATTCACAGATTCTGAAAGAAGTGAAAGAGGAGCAAGCTTTCAAGTATCCCTAAGGAGGGCACTGTAGGATTTGTGTTGGAAATGGATCTGACGACTTCAGAGAGACTTCAGAGAGGCAGAAGATCAGATTCTAGACAGACCGATTCTCTCCACTTGGCCAATTTAAAACTGTCTGTGCCTCAGCCAAATTATCTGCTTTTTGCTCGACGTCATCATTGCCCCTAGATCACAGACGAGGAATCCAGAGTGACACTTTCCTGAATCCCCTTCCAGTAAGATTCTTGATTAAATTTGCCGGTGAAAGACACTGATGTGAACCTAGGAGGGCGGGAGAGGAGAAGGCACTTTTCTCTTGCAACAGCCCCGGAAGGAAAAACTGAGGTCTTCCTGTGTGGCTCCCCTTGGCTGTGGATGCCCTGGACTGGGCAGCTGAGGTCATCCGCCGAGGCTTCCCTGGGATACCTGTACCTCCAGATCTCCTAAAATGGCCTTCTTGATTTGCACCTCCAGCTCTTCCAAAGATTATGTGAAATTCTAGTTTTCTGTGTTAGTGTGTACTTAGTGTTTCCACTCAAAATACACACTACTCCACACACGACTACACACACTACTCAATAATCCAGAATGACACAGAGGCCTAGGCATAGAGGCCCAGTGTCCAGTGTCTTGGTCATCAAACTATGCTGAAAAATCTGAATTTTGATTTGTATCAAATTACAGACATGAAAAATACATATAGTATAATTTCATTATGTAATTCAAAAGCAAACTAATGTGTGATTTTATAAATAAGGATATGGGGTTGGGGCTGGCGCCCTGGCCTGAAGCGCCGGCATCCCTTGTGGACACCGGTTCGAGTCCTGGCTCCTCTTCCATTCCAGCTCTCTGCTATGGCCTGGGATAGCAGTAGAAGATGGCCCAAGTGCCTGGGCCCCTGCATCCATGTGGGAGACCCAGAAGAAGCTCCTGGCTTCTGGAAGACCTTTCTCTCTGTTTCTCCCTCTCTGTGTAACTTTGCCTCTCAAATAAAGAAATTTTTTTTTTGACAGGCAGAGTGGACAGTGAGAGAGAGAGACAGAGAGAAAGGTCTTCCTTTGCCGTTGGTTCACCCTCCAATGGCCGCCGCGGACGGCGCACCGCGCTGATCCGAAGCCAGGAGCCAGGAGCCAGGTGCTTTTCCTGGTCTCCCATGGGGTGCAGGGCCCAAGCACCTGGGCCATCCTCCACTGCACTCCCTGGCCACAGCAGAGAGCTGGCCTGGAAGAGGGGCAACTGGGACAGAATCCGGCGCCCCAACCGGGACTAGAACCCGGTGTGCTGGCGCCGCTAGGCGGAGGGTTAGCCTAGTGAGCCACGGCGCCGGCCTGAAAATTTTTTTTAAAAAAAGTAAGGATAATGGTTACATAATGGTTATATTTTATATGGTTAGGTGGATAGGCCATGAGAGGGACTTGGGATGCTTGTAATGTTGGATTTCTTCATCAAAGTGGTACTTGATTCTTTTTTTTTTTTTTTTTTTTGACAGGCAGAGTGGACAGTGAGAGAGAGAGACAGAGAGAAAGGTCTTCCTTTTCCATTGGTTCACCCTCCAAATGGCCACTATGTCCAGCGTGCTGTGCAGATCCGAAGCAGGAGCCAGGTGCTTCCTCCCAGTCTCCCATGAGGGTGCAGGGCCCAAGCACTTGGGCCATCCTCCACGGCCTTCCCAGGCCACAGCAGAGAGCTGGACTGGAAGAGGAGCAACTGGGACAGAATCTGGTGCCCCAACTGGGACTAGAACCCGAGGTGCTGGTGCTGCAGGCGGGGGATTAGCCTATTGAGCCGCGGCACTGGCAGGTGCTTGATTCTAGACTTCTCTTTGTGGTAAGCCATTAAGCAAATCATTGAAATATGCATACTTTTATTTACATGTGTTAAAATTGAATGAAAATTTTACTTTAAAAAATATAAGCCAGTAGGAAATTTTGTTTCCTTAATGCCAGTCCTACAATAACAACTTTATCATTGAGTCCAGTCCTGCTGTTTGATAGATGGTACAGCTGAGGCACCAAGAGCTAAGTAACTTGCTCCAGGTCTACCTTCAAGCTCAATTTTAATTATTTGAAATCTGATTCAATATGAGAATATTAAAATTCAGAGTTTTCTAGGTTTTTTTCTACTTTACTCAAATAGAAGTAAATTTTGCATGAAAATAGCTAAGAAGAATTTGTTATCTCGGGCATTGCTTAAGAAACGTCAAACTCTCCACTGAAAAGACCTATGAGTAACATTGGGAAAGAATATGCCAACCTTCTGCAGTTATTTGGCATTTAAGAGCAGGAAGGAGGCTTTGCTTCAACAATGGGCCATTGTGAACTGGATGCGACTCTAAATGAAGGGAAAAATAAACCATGCTGTAAAATGTCCCCAAGAAAGGTAAACTGGAGACTGCTTAAAACCAGACATCAATTTTGCCCACTTGTCCATTTCCTAAAGATTTTGCTGCCTTTAAACCACCTAGATGGTCATCCCATAGGGATGGGAATTCCAATGACCAAATGGACCCATCACCTCCTATTGCTTTAAGGGCTGAATTATAAGTGAACTCCAAGTGAAGCCATGTTTCACTGAAGGAGGACTTCTTGGAGAGCTGGGATCATAGTGTTAACAAAGGTAAGAAGGTTCTTTCTGAAGAGCTCTTCTCGCACTTCCCACTGTCCCCACCACTAGGGCTCATATCATAATTTAATCTAGGACATTCTAGCTCCATTGAAACACACACGTGGTCTTGTAGTCTTTAACCTGTTACCTTCAGGGGTCAGTAGTACCATATGCTTTTGACCTCCTTGGCTTTTTCTGAACCTGCATTTGGCATAATTCAGAAAAGATGCTGCTCAGTTTGAATGTGGTTTGCCCCCACCACTACTCATATGGAGGCTTGATCCCCATTGCTGCACGCTGGGAGGTGTCCACCTTAGTGAGAGGCGTTTGGTTCCTGGGAACTCTCATGAATGGATCAATGTCTTTCTCCTGTGAATGAATTCTGGCTCCTGTAGGACAGGATTGAAAAATACACACAGGGGCTGCTCCCTGTGTTTTTCATTACATGTACCTACTTGACCTTCTGCTTTCGACCTTGAGTTGAGGCAGCATGAGACCCCTGAGCAGATGCCAGCGCCATGGTCTTGGACTTCCCAGCCTTTCGAACTGTGAAGCAAAGGAGACATCTTTTATTTATGGACCCCCAGTCTCAAGTATTCTATTATACCAACTGAAAATGGACTGAGACAGAAGATTTCTCATAATCTACTCATTCAACTCTATTTATTGACTTTCCACTATATGCCTGGAAGTGGGTTAGGTGCTGAGGACACATAATGAATATGACGCAGTCCTTGTCCCCAAGAAGTTCATGATTGGTTGCAGAACAGTCATGCAAAATAATAGTTTAGTTACAGGAGTGAATTTTGGTGCTGTGTAAAAACATATCATTTAAGTCCTAACTACAAGTTTTAAATTCTGTTTTCTTGATAGTCTTTGCTGGTGACCTTCCAATACGAGGCTCACTGCTATTTTGGATAAAAAGATTTTCTTGAACATTCATCCTGCTTTACTTCACTTAAATGTACTAAACTTGGGCATAGTTTGGGAGCACTCCAAGTTCAGATGATGAGAAGAGTATACATGTAGGAAATAGGCTGAGACTTCTTGCATGAAATTGATAGCAATTAGAAGTCCTAGGAGTAGGAATTTTTATGGCAAGAAGATCTTATAATGGTGATTTCCAAATTAAGTATGAAAGGGTTCTCAGGGACATGCTCGAGTTGAAAAGAAATGTCAAAGGTAATATCAAATGTATTTAATTGCCAGTTGTTTATCATCAGACAGTATTTCAGAGCCAACAGCTCAAAGCATGAAACTTAAGTGTGGTTTCTCTAGCTTATTTCTATATCCTCCCATAGCAAAGCAATTCTACTCCAGAGTTAGTCACAGTTTGTTGTTAGTCATACACATTATCTGACAAATCTTTGATCATCCAGTAAATTTTATGTTATATATATTTTACCACCTTAAAAATTTGTAAAAAGTGAGCAAAGGATCTTAATAGACTTTTTTTCAATGAAGATATATATAAATTGGCAAGAAGTTACCAAAAAGATGCTTGGCATCATTAATAATCAGGGAAATGTAATTCAAAAGCACAATGAGGCAATGTTTCACAACCATTAAGAAGACTAGAATAAAAATTCAGTTGATGAGAATGTAGAGAAATTGGAATGTGCATACACTGCTGGCGAGACTGTAAAATGCTGCAACAACTTTGGAAAACATTTTGGCAGTTGTGCAAATAATTCAACATAGGATTACAATAAGACCCAGCAATTCTACTCTTAGGTATATACCTAAAAGAAGTTAAAACATATGTTTTAATTAAAACACAAGAACTTGTACACAGATGTTCATAGTAGCATTATGTTTTAAGAGATTTATTTATTTTATTTTATAAGATTTTATTTATTTATTTGAGAGGTAGAGTTACAGACAGTGAGAGGGAAATACAGAGAGAAAGGTCTCTGGTTCACTCCCCAGATAGCCACAACGGAGGAGCCAGGAGCTTCCTCTGGGTCTCCCATGTGGGTGCAGGGGCCCAAGCTATTGGATCATCTTCTACTGCTTTCCCAGGCCATAGCAGAGAGCTGGATTGGAAGAGGAGCAGCCGGGACTCGAACCGGTGCCCATATGGGATGCTGGCACTGCAGGCAGAAGATTAACTCATTGAGCCACAATGCTGGCCCCAGATTTATTTTAGAGGCAGAGTTACAGAGAGAGAGAGAGAGAGAAAGGTCTTCCATCCACTGGTTCACTTCCCGAATGGCCAGAACACCTGGAGCTGAGCCCATCCAAAGCCAGGAGCCAGGAGCTTCCTCCAGGTCTTATGTGGATACAGAAACCCAATCACTTGGGCCACCTTCCTCTGCCTTCCCAGGCCATTAGCGAGAGCTGGATCAGAAATGGAGCAGTCAGGACTCGAACTGGCACCTGTATGGGGTGCTGGTGCTCCAGGCAGAGGCTTGACCTACTATGCCACAACGCTGGCCCCAGTAGCATTACTCATAGTGGCCAAAAAGTGGAAGCAGCCCAAATTTCTATGAATTGATGAATGAATAACAAAATATTGCATTTCTTTTTTTTTTTTTTTTTTTTTATACTTCAGAGACTTTATTTGATCTATTCTTTTTAGATCAACAGTTTCATTCCTAGGGCTTCCCCCGTGGAATGTTGGGTCCACCAGCACTGGCCACACACTTTTGTGTTCCAGAAAATAGCCAGGTTTTCACAGATCTTGTAGCGTACTGGACTACTCTGGTCCAGCTGGTTCTGGAACATTACCAAGGTGGTGGACATGTTCAAAGGCCTTTTTTTTTTTTTTTAAACTTTTATTTAATGCATATAAATTTCCAAAGTATGACTTATGGATTACAATGGCTTCCCCCCCATACCGTCCCTCCCACCCACAACCCTCCCCTTTCCCACTCCCTCTCCCCTTCCATTCACATCAAGATTCATTTTCGATTATCTTAATATACAGAAGATCAGCTTAGTATACATTAAGTATGGATTTCAACAGTTTGCTCCCACACAGAAACATAAAGTGAAAAATAATAGATGATTTTTTAAATGATGATGAAATCAGATCAGACCTATTGTCATGTTTTAATCCCAGTGAGAGTCAAGTTGGGGAGTTGATAATTGTTTTTTACAGGAGGATCAGTTGATCAGGTTTAGTATGCATTCAACAGTTTGCACCCCCATAGAAACACAAAGTGAAATATATTGTTTGAGTACTCGTTATAGCATTAAATCTCAGTGTACAGCACATTAAGGACAGAGATCCTACATGAGGAGTAAGTGCACAGTGACTCCTGTTGTTGACTTTACCAATTGACACTCCTGTCTATGGCATCAGTAATCTCCCTATGCTCCAGTCATGAGTTTCCAAGGCTATGGAAGCCCTCTGAGTTCTCCGACTCTTATCTTGTTTAGACAAGGTCATAGTCAAAGTGGAGGTTCTCTCCTCCCTTCAGAGAAAGGTACCTCCTTCTTTGATGACCTGTTCTTTCCACTGAGATCTCACTCACAGAGATCTTTTGCCAGAGTGTCTTGGCTTTCCATGCCTGAAATACTCTCATGAGCTTTTCAGCCAGCTCCGAATGCCTTTAGGGCTGATTCTGAGGCCAGAGTGCTATTTAGGACATCTGCCATTCTATGAGTCTGCTGAGTATCTCACTTCCCATGTTGGATCGCTCTCCCCTTTATTTACTCCATCAGTTAGCGTTAGCAGGTACTAGACTTGTCTATGTGCTCCCTTTGACTCCCAGTCCCTTCACCATGACCAACTGTGAACTGAAACTGATCACCTGGAACAGTGAGATGGCATTGCTTTTAACAGATTATCACTAATCATGAAAAGCAGTGAAGTGCTAACAAATGCCCCAGTAGAATACAGCTTGAAAACATTGCATTAAGTGAAAGAAACTAGTCCCAAAAGAGCACAGCTTACTTGGTTCCATTTTTATGAAATGGCCAGAATAGGTAAAGCTGTAGAGATAGAAAGGATATCAGTGGTTAGGGTTAGGGAAGATGGAGAATAAAGGGTGATAGTTTAGGGGTACTGGCTCCTTTGGAGGTGATGAAAATATTTTAAAATCTATTGTGGTGACATTTGTATGCATCTGTGAATAAATTAAGATTCATTTATTTGTATGCTTTTAAATGGGCAAATGGTATAGCATGTAAATTTTATCTCATTATAGCTGTTTTACAAAAACTGGAAAAGAACAATACTAATACTTTGCTGCAGGGTTCTCCTTTAGCCTGAGGATGAATATCCAAAACTGGGAATCATCACAGTCATATGACTTGTGCTGGCTGATGAGCATACAGGGGACTGGGCTGTGGTGGAGGGTGCCTGTATTGAGAAAAGTGAAGCCACTTCTTAGGTCCCACTAATCCCTGCATATTACAGTGCAACCTTAGTGCCTTTGAGAGACCTCATTCCAAGAGCAGCTGAAAATTTTCATAATTTTTGGAATTTCCTCATTTTTGTTGCTACTGATTCATTCAGAAGCTAGATACAGATAGAGATGAAAGCCCTTTGTTCCCATGGTAACAGAGAAATACTCATACAAAACCTAAATCACATTTTTCTGTGAGTCTAGCACAGAAGCTAAATAGCAGTAGACCAAAGGAAGCCTTGATGAACAGAATTGGTTCAACAATTCTCTCTCTGCCTTCCAAACCCAAAGTTTTCCAAGAAGACAGCAGTGAAGAGGATGGTAAACAGAAAGGAAATAACATAATACATTGTGTCCTTGTGGTAAATGAATTCCAACCTCCTAAATTGAATCCAAAGGTGAACCAAAAATAACTTCAACTGTAGCCAGAGTCTCTCCTTCCTCAAATACTGACAAAATAAAACAGGCAGTGGTAAGAAAGATTGGGTTGTGCTCAATATAAATTTTCATCAGAGAATTGCAAATTAAAACCACAGAGAAATACCATTTCATACCGACTAGAATGGCTAAAAATAGAAAATAAGACAATGCCAAATGTAACAAAGATATAAAACCACTGGAACTCTTGCTTACTGCTGGTGGGAGTGTAAAATGGAATAACTACCCTGGAACCTCCATTGGCAGTTTCTTACCACGTTATGTTTACCCCTTTATAACAAAGCATTTCTACTCTTGTGCATATACCTGAGAGACGTAAAATACGTCCACCAAAAGTCTTAAAAAACCCCTTCTTTGTAGGAGCTTTATTCATAGCAATATAAAATACTGCTGAAAATAACTCAGAAGCCCATCGAGCATATATTAATAAGTTATGGTATATCCATATAGTTAGTGGAACATTAGTCAGCAATAAAAATGAATAAACTGATACATTTTACCAACAATATCAATTTTCACTGATATTGAAGGTGCACTGTATACTTTAAATGGGTATATTATATTGTATCTGAACTTTATCTCAATAAAGCTGTTATGCTGCATGAAAGAAGACAGACACGAGGCAATACATATTATAAAATGCATTTGAATGAAGTTCAAGGATATAGAAAGCTAAGAAATACTAGAAGTCAGGACAGTTATTGCCTTTACAAAGGAAGGTTAGTTTTTGACTAGAAAGCCACACAAAAGAACTTTCTGGGATAATGGAACTATCTGTATTCAATAAGCTTAAGATCTTTATCTGTCTATCTATATTCCCCTATTGCCGTGGTTTGAATATGGTTAGTGTCCCCTCAATGGTTCATGTTTTGGGAACTTGATCCCCAGACTGGTGGTATGGGGAGGGGCCAAGGACCCTTAGGAGGTGGGACCTCATGCTATGTCCTTGAATCAATTGTGATGTGCCTTTAAAAGGGATTATGGGTGGCCACCTAGCTTTCTCTCCTTAATGGTTTGGGATGCAATCATTGACCCTGCCCATGCTGCCACTATTGCTGTCTGTCTTGACTGCTGTCTGCAGCCTTCACCACAGAGCTCACACCATGCCATTGGGATCTGGAACCTCTAAAACGGTGAGCTAAATAAACCTATTCTTCTGCATAAGTAGCCCTAGTCAAGTATTTCATTATAGTGTTGAAAAGCGGACTAATACATCTGTGGAAAATTATAGTCTAATGAAAAGTTACACTCTAAAATAACATGTAGGCAAACAGAATAGTTTATGAACTGTTTCCACCCTGATTCCATTCTGGTGGTTGAAGGAGCCCAGCTTCAGGTACCAAATCAGGTACCATATCCCTAGAATGTTCAATGATAGCCCCTTCAGGTATAGGATCATCTCCCTTCTGTGGGGGCTGCTCAGAGAATTCCCAGAAATTGATGCATTTTTATAAACATATTGTGCATAAAGAGAATTCTGCATCTGCCCAGAATTTTCCAGTGAGAAACTGCATAGGAGTGATCAGAACTGCCCCTGGCTGAGCTTATCACATCCCAGCAGGTGTGCCTTAGGCTCGCACATGGGACTCTGCTGCTCTCATCTCCTTGGCTTTGTTCCTGGGTTCTGATGTTCTCTCGAGCTGTTTGTGTTTAGATCTTCCAGGATGTCGTCTGACGTCCGAAGTGCTTGTCCTGACGTCCAAAACGCTCGTCCTGAAATAGTTTGCTTTAACCACAGCCAAGTCAGCAGGTCACAACCCCAGTCTGACACCTAATGGATTTCTGGACAGAATTAAGTAGTCCATGAACTTGAATGAGAAAATTGCATCTCAATTTTTACTAACCTCTGAAGGACATTTGGTGTTTCCTTCCACCATGAATGTAAGCAATAAGCTACAACAATATTAACCATACCTGTGACCATCATAATTGGAAATCACAAGTAATTTATCATCATATCACAGCTGTGGCAGGTATCGCAGAATATTGTTGATGACCATCACTACTTCAAAAGTCTGGTAATTATTATACCAGCATGAAATAGAATATTATTTAGTGAATTAATAAAGGGCTATACATGAGTATATTTTACATAACTTTAAAAATGTTTAAATAACTGAGTTTCAATTTAACTACTTTCCATTATAATGTAATGCTTTTTATTTATGCATTTACAAACATGAGAAGAGATACTAGTTTATTATTACTGATATGAAAAACCTAGTTATTTAAAAACAACACATATTTGTTTATTTACCTGAAAGGCAGGGATAGAGGGATAGAAAGAGAGAGCTGAGAGAAAAAAAAAGAGATCTTTCATCTGCTAATTCACTCCCCTAAATGCCTACAACAGCTGAGGCTGGGACAGGCTGAAGCCAAGGAGCCAAGAACTCAATCCAAGACTCAATTACTTGAGCCATTACCTGCTGCTTCCCAAAGTCCACATTATCAGGAAGCCAGAACTCAAACCCAGGCACTGTGATATGGGATGCAGGATCACCAAGTGGCGTTTTAACTGCTATGCCAAACATCTGCCAAAAAACAAACAAACAAATATTAACATCTTACTGTTCTACAGATGAGAAATTGGACACATTTCTTTCTGGGATAAAATTAAGGTGTCAGTTGGACTGTGTTCCTTCTAAAAATATTTGGGGACAATCGATTTGCTTGCCTTTTCCAGCTCCTAGAGGCTTCCTATATTCCTTGGCTTATAGCCCCTTCCTCCACCTTCAAAGTCAGCAAAAATGGATCCATCCCTTCATGTATTACATCACTCCAACCTTCTCGTCTACCTTTGGGATTACATTAGACCTATTTGGTTAATCCAGAATAATATCCTTAGTTTAAGGTCAGCTGATTAGCAACTCAATTCATTCTGCAACCTTAATTCCCCTGTGTTAGGTCACAACATAGTCACAGGTTCTGGACATCTGTGGGGGCTTCATTCTTCCTACCATAAGGGTTCCAGCCTTCAGGACCCGGCTCGGCAGGCCATGGTACAAATAGTCTGATGCTGCAGCCTAAACCCTGGTCTGACCTCTGTTTGCCTGATTCTGGCTGTCCTGCATAATTGCACTGGCCTCGTTTCAGCTCCCTTTGCAGCCAAACAGGACAGAATCTCTGTGAAAAGCACGTCCCTGGCCCTCCTTCTCACATCGGGGCACAGATTCAAGTCCTAGCTGCCTTGCATCCAGTCCAGCTCCCTGCTAATGTGAATGGGAAAGCAGAAGATGGCCTAAATACTTGGGTCCCTGACACCCACATGGGAGACCCGGGTGTAGTTCCTTGATCCTGGCTTTGTGCTGGTCCTGTTCTGATTATTATGGTCATTTGCAAAGTGAACCAGTGGATGGATAATTCTCTCTCTCTCTTTGTGTGTGTGTGAGAGAGAGAGACTCTGGCTTTCAAATAAATAAATAAATCTCTTTTTAAAATAGAAAATATTAGAACTAAAATTTATATTTTAAAAGAAAATGTATTTATAAAAATGCTTCAATTTCTGGATTGCCTTCAAATTATATTTCATTGCAGGATGTCCTGGAGCCCAGACCCTGCTACCCAACTCTATCCAGATCCTACCCAAACCCATTGGGGGCAGCCCAGGTACTCACAGGAAATATTAAGGACTATAATCCAAAGGGTCCCAGCCAAAGTGTCTGGGAGCCCCTTGTACCATGTGTAACATTGAGGAAATAGACCACCTTGCTTGTGAATAGTCACTGTGCCAAAGCAAGACCCTGTCTTGGATTTGTGGCTACTACAGGGGCAAGAGGCATGGATACACTTCCTCCTTAACAAATGGGACTCCTCCCTCTGTGATCCAGATCATGAAAGAAAGCAGGGCTGGAGGTCAGAGCCAGAACAGGCAGCATTTTTGAACTTGTTATTCCTGGACTTTGATGCTTTGGCCATTGAACTCTCGGGATTTGAGCATGTAGCTGAATAGCTGAGTTCTATCAAAAACTTGTAAAGTAGAAATAATTATTAAAATTACAATAGCACATGATCTTCCAAACTAGAGCCTTAAATAGTGACTCAGTGATACCCTCAACTTCCATGGCCGTCTATGGAAACATGGTTGCCTTAAAGAAATACCATCCTGCATTTCTTTGCCTGACAACTTTAATTGCTGTGTTTCCTTAGTAATGTTGAATGCAGCACAGGGTTGCTAATATTGTTGATCTAAAGGTTAAGAAACCTGGATCCAGCTTTGGTTTTGCCATTAGCCAATAATATGATGCTAGACAAGTTATTTAACTTCTCCTGAAGATCTTGTTAAAAAATATAGGTGCCTGGGGCTCCAGCACACATGCTTGAATGAAAAATGTCATTGGAGTCACTGGTGATCTGCACACTCAGCAAACACCTGGGTGACCTGCAGCATCAAGGGAACACTCGATTCAGTAACTACATCCTGCTGGAGGAGGAAGTCACCTTCCCTAAGGACAAGCACCAGGAAAAACTTCGCTTTTTAAAATCAAAGCACCCAGGCATCAAGTTCCTGTGGACGTCTCTCCCATTGGTTAACACCTGGGTTGTACAAATAGCATTTCCTTGCAACAATCACTTTAATAAACGACAGGTGTTTTCTGCTGGAAATCAACACTGGCAATTAGTTTGCTTTTTCCCTGGATGAATCTGGAGGGAAAAAAGTTTTCAGTCCCCCACCAAGCCAGGTTTACCAACCACCAATCCTTTCTACAAGTCATGGAGATTTCAACTGTACCTTAATATTATTTCCCATCTTCCAAAGAGTTTTTTGAGAATGAAAAGCTGAAACTGCAGGTGGGTATGAGGTGGTACATCAACCTGCAATTTCAGTGCTTCTTCCTATTCACTGAGATTAAGCTAGAAGTATGATTTCCCCAGGCATTTCTCGTGACCACGTCGTGTAATTGTCACTCAGGCATCTTGTGCTGACTGTCTGAACTCAAAGAATGGATTTCATTTCTGTGCTGGCATTGACAAAGGAAATTGTACCAGGTGAGATTGGGGACTGCCCTCTAAAGAGACTCAGAGCATTCTCTTTTGACTGCTGATGAAATACAGAAGAAAAAAGATAAATATGAAAAGGCAGTTGTTTTTAAGCCTCCTTTGTGTGCATGTGTGTGTGTGTGTGTGCATACACCCTAACCATGAACTGAACTGAGGGTAGCATGCCCCAGGTTACAAGGAGAGGCCTGGAGAAGTCCCTGTTGACCCTGGCAAGTGAATGCAATACCTGGCACATTTTTGTCAAGTTCTTTCCCCTGATGTTAGCCTGGTCGGTGTGCTGAGGCCCTGGGGAAGCACTGTTACAGGTGCTGCGGTCTGATCCTGGGATGCCTGGCAGGCTGATGGAGGGGAGGAATCTCAATCCTCTGTCACCCCTGCCTGTCAGAAGCCTGCAGAATGAAAGGTGGGCCAGGCTGACTCCACAACAAACTCCGCATCTGCCAGCAGGAATGGCTGCTGTGGAAGTAAAGGCGGATACACTGGGAGGGGAAGCACTGGCTTTATGGGAAGAACCTGTTTGACTTGTTAGTTCTGATCTCTAGGAAACTCAAAGCAGCTTTTCTTGATGTTGTCTTCATCACTTTCTGTGCAAAGAAGAAAAAGGCAGTGTCAATAATTTATTGTGTTGTCAATTGATTGTTTTTTTTCTTTCTAGGAATTCTTTTTGCTCATAAGGCACACTATATAAGCATCTATTTTCTCCTAAGAATGAATTCTGTTTGATTTCTTCTTTTCTGTCTCTTCAAAAGGTATCCTAGGATTGCTAACATTGAGTTTGTGTGTTTGTGTGTGTATGAGAGATAGACACGGAGGTAGACATGGGGTTTTGGGGGCGGGGGGAGAGCAGAGAGCTTTGGTGCTTTTTCTTTTTTACACAGATAAGTTTGTGTCACCTTGACATGACTTCTGCTTTTTGGTCTTCAGATTCCAGTACCCATTCTCGATGAGGACCAGATACTAGGCAAAAACCTGAGCTGGAGCGAATCTTCCTCTGGGGTTTAGATGGAAAAGAGAAATATCCCTAAAGTGGAGAATGGGGAAAACATGCAAATCAGAACTTCAAGAAGGGATCTGGGTTCTATTTCCCTGTCCTCAGAAGAAACATCTTTTACCATGCAGATTTGATTCCTTTTCTTAGAAAATGAAGAGAGCAGTGCATCTTCCGTTTTTGAAAACAATTTAAAATGAAGGCAAGAACATGTGAACGTGGTTATTTTCTGTTTTTATGCTCTCTGATTTCTCCTGATGGCTTATGTCATACTGTCTGATGACAGACCAATATCCTCACCTCCTTTCCCACCTCTGAGAAAACAAAGAAAGTGTTTGCCTATGTGCAGGTGGAGACCGTGGGTATGTGTCTGGAGGACTTGGCTTCCAGCGGGCTTCTCAAAGGCCATCTTCTGGAGCAAACAGTGTCTGTAGTAGGAAGAGGGTACCAATTTGGAATGCACACCCTAGGTGGCAGCAGTGATGCCTCCAGGACTTGGTTCCCTGCCACCCATGTAGCAGACCTGGACTGAGTTCCCAATTTCTGGCTTTGCCCCTCCAACACCCTCTGTTTTAAGGGCATTTGGGGAGTGAGCCAGGGGATGAAAACTCTCTTTATCTCTCTGCTTTTTGAATTTAAAACAAAAGAAAACAAAACCGACTTCTTCAAGTCCCTCTCCATCCCTTCATCCTTTAGTTTTGGTGCCAACTACTCTGACTGTCTTCAAATGCTTGGAGGGATGAGCAGGGTAGGAGACAGAGGATCGCCTGCCCATCCCCATCAGAGTATCCTCCCAGCCTGCACCCCTGGACACAGCGGCCTCCACTCCCTACCCCCTAAGAAGACTTAACGTGTTTACTGAGTCAGTACAAAAGTGCTTGAACTTGTGGATGTTGCTCTACTGCTTTGTGTCTGCAGAAGACAGACAGGGAAAACACACTGTAACAGTACATGGAAGCCAGCTGGACATTGTTGTCTGCAGCGAATGATCAAGGGACTCTGAACCGAGACCTGCTGGCAAAGCCGCTGAGCTCTGTGGGCTGCTGCTGAGACGAGGCGGAGAGAGAAGTGCAGTGGTCCAGAACCCAAGATAGGAGGCTCCCCGGGGTCCTGGGACTTTCTGCTCCACCAGTGCGGAAATCCTTGGGCAGTAGGATTAACGGTGACGTAGGCAGCGGTCAGAAGAGAAGGAACTCTCAGTTCCACTCAGAGTCCGGCTGACCTCATCCTCACTGTGATCTCCAGAGCTTGTTGTGCTTTCAAAAAGATTCCTTGAACGGGTGATTGGTTCCGCTGTTGTCACTGTGTGTGAGTGCAGAAATGTGTAGGCTCATCCTGAGGAGTGGATTTGTGCTCCGGGTACAGAGATAGCAGTGCCCGGTGCTGAATGGAGGGGGCGTCCGCAGAAACATGAATTCAGATTTTGTAGTTGCTTGTTCTTCAGATGTCTAATCTTTGCGTGCCGTAACCGGGACCTTTACTGACCTCCCGTGTTCTTGTTGAAGGTATCACTTTCGGGCTACATTTCTGTAGGAGCTCCCTGCTTATGTACTTCTAGGATATCATCTCTATGGCTCCCTTAATATGTGAGCAAGAGGGCCATTAGCAACCCATTGTGCTTTAGGGATGAGCAGCATGGAAATATCATCAATGTTTTATCATTGGGGTCAGAGCGGGAGTTTGAGGGGGCATTTTGTACAGCAGGAAACAGGCTGCTTGGGTAGCAAACATCCCATGTTGAGGTGCCTGGTTTGATTTCTGTCTCTGTTTATATATATTTTTTTTAAGATTTATTTTATTTATTTGAAAGAGTTACAGAGGTAGAGACAGAGAGAGAGGTCTTCCATCCGCTGGTTCACTCCCCCAGATGGCCACAACGGCCAGAGCTGTGCCAATCTGAAGCCAGAAGTAGGAGCTTCTTCTGTGTCTCCCACATGGGTGCAGGGACCCAAGGACTTGGGCCATCTTCCACTGCTTTCCCAGGTCATAGCAGAGAGCTGGATCAGAAGAGGAGCAGCCGGGACTCAAACCGGCGCCCATATGGGATGCCGGCACTGCAGGCCAGGGCATCAGTCGGCTGCGCCACAGCGCCGGCTTCTTCTCTGTTTCTGATTGCAGCTTCTTGCTAATGTGCAACCCCGGAAGCAGCAGATGATTGCTCAAGTACGTGAGTCCCTGCCATCTCCGTGGGAGACCCCAGACTGAGTTCCTGCTTCCTGGCTTCACCCTGTCCCACCCCTGGCTGTCGTGGGCATGTGGGGAGTGAACCAGTGGGTGGAGGATCTCTCTCTCTGTTTCTTTTTTTTTTTTTTTTAATTTTTGACAGGCAGAGTGGACAGTGAGAGAGAGAGAGACAGAGAGAAAGGTCTTCCTTTGCCGTTGGTTCACCCTCCAATGGCCGCCGCTGCAGCCGGCGCACCGCGCTGATCCGATGGCAGGAGCCAGGAGCCAGGTGCTTTTCCTGGTCTCCCATGGGGTGCAGGGCCCAAGCACCTGGGCCATCCTCCACTGCACTCCCTGGCCATAGCAGAGAGCTGGCCTGGAAGAGGGGCAACCGGCTCTCTCTGTTTCTTTACCTTTGTCTGCTGCACTTCAAATGAAAATGCAAAAAGAACAAATTCTGAGGAACTTTAATATTAGACACTAAATAAAATAACCAAAGAGCCATTCATCTTTTAAGGATGTGTTTCCTCATCCGGGAGAGTATCACATGGGAGTCTTTGGGTAATGCCTAAATTTTTTTTTTTTTTTTTTAATTTTGTCCCCTTCAGTCAAGCAGATTGTTGCATACTCACGGCTCAGCTCCCTGGGCATACACATGGCATTCTGAAACTGTTTCCCTGCCCCTGGCACATTCTTTTCTCCCTGAACAAGCCCTTTCATTCTTTTACATTTTATCATTTAAAACATGTCCTGAGGTTTCTGATTTCCTTTTCAGAAAACTCTCTCACCGTCTTTAGATTTGGTTGTCTCAGTCCGAGCTTGCTTGAACCTGGAATGAGTGGTAGATGTGATTTCTGTTTCTTATTTGCACGTGGTCATGATTTTCATTTAAACTGGACTTTGTATCTGGCCTAGGTGGGCAAGGAACTTCTCTGCCATTGCCATGGTGTGAGGCACTCGTGAGTTGGAGGATCAGATTGAACCTGGCAGAGAAGAAATGAGACCTGAAGGCCTGAAAGATGGCTGAATAAAAGTCCCAGCCTTACCTGAATAGATGATGTTGCATTTTAAGGTTGCTGTCCAGATGTCATAGAGAACGGTGGTAGCTCAAAGCACTACTGTTGCCATCTGATAGGTATGTGGCCATTTCCTGCTTTAAGCTCTAAGTCCATTCCCTAAACAGCCTATGTCATATAGACCTCGAGCTGCAATTAGAGAGGAATTATATCTTTAAGAAATATGGTTTCTAAAAATATAACATAACTAAATAAATCCCAGAACTGAAGGCATAAAGAAAGACTAATCTCATAACCCTTAGTTTGAAAGAGCTCCTACAGCCCATGGGACATTCTGTACAGATCTTTTATTGAAGGCAGATTGGAGAAATGAAAAGCAGTTGAGTTTGGGAAATTAATTATTGTATCATTTTGCCAAATCCTGTAATACTTTAAATGTAGGATTAGATGGATGTCATCTGGGATTGGGAACCGAGAGGTGGCAGGGGATAGACGAGGAGAAGTGGAATGTTTTTGAGTCAGTTACTTAATCAGTTTTCCTGGACAAAGGATAACCTTGTGTTAGAAGCACTCAGAGTTGCAGAGTGAAAGATGTGCTGTACATTCGTAGGTACACCGGGGGCATAGTCCAACCCAGGTGTAACTCAATCCCTGAACGAGAAGGTACTTTAGAACAGGATTTAATTGTACTCTCCTGGAAGTATGCCCCTCATTCCAGTTGGGAGGTTTAATTAATCCTTACCCAGAGGTCAGTGACTTCACCATAAATGCCATAGAAGGGCAAGGACTCATCTCAATGTGAGTTAGCATTCGATGCAGCCAGTGTTCATTTTATTACGTTTATCAATTGTTTTAAGAACTCGGCTGAATGAGTTCATTGTATGTGTGCCTGGAGGCTTTTTAGAGCGATTTGGAAAATACATTATAGAAGAAACCACAAGATTGTTAAAATGACTTGAAACAGTTTGAGTCCAATTTTCAAAGGAGGTTGTAATACCCATATTTATTCTTGTTTCATCCCCTTATATGATTATTCACACTGTATTTTGAGAATAAAATTTATGAGACAGGATCCCCATCTAATTATCCTACTCCCCTCCCATTCATTTTTTCCCCTTTTTCTTTCTCTGGCTTCTAGCAGGCGCTCCCAGGGGAATTTAAGAACGAGAGGCTGAATGATCTAGATGGAAACACAGAATCCTTCTTTCATGTGCTTTCCTTTCAACGCATCTAATCTTTTCCCTATCAAGGAATACTTTTTGAGCAAAACAGAGTGGCTTGGTCCTCGCCACAGTTGGCAAAGGCTTAAATGGAAGGTTTCTGTCTATTGCTCACTTACTGCCTCTTTCTTACCTGTTTAAGCTCCTTCTCCCCTGTGGTGTTAAGGGGCGGGGCTGTGGCTGTGAGCAGGACTAGGAAGGGGGTGAGGGGAGCATCAGCTTGCGGTGGACACCTGAAGAGAGGGCAGAGCTGAGGTGCTTCACCTCCAGCAGGTTTCTGGAAACCTGTTTTAGACCAAACATACTGCAGTATTCAGTATGAAACTTGGACAGGGAAACTCAAAGTCTAAGTTTTAACCACTGCATAAATCTTTCTTTTTCTTTTCTATTTCATCTTGACTTTTTATCTCTTATATAAACTTTCTTAGGTATATTTCCATGAAGATATTTATTCCAATCCCTTCCTTATGTCTAGGTAAAGTGCTGGATGTGGAAGGATGATTTATCGTAACAATAGAAAATAATATGCCTGAGTAAGTTGTCAGCGTAGAAAAAGGGCTGAGTTTGTATTTGGACCACTTGTGTTCATGGTCCAGCTTACCTATTAACTACTGCAAAGGACTTGAGCACATAGTGCCTCAGTTTATTCAGTTGCAAAACGTGCACGATACAGTACTAAAGATCTCCATTTTACAAGGATTTTCAAAGGCTTCAGTGAGATAAATACTGTATAAAACAGGAAGCTAGATCAGAAGTGTTTGGTGGTAGGTACTCAAGTTGGCTGTTTGATATGGGAGGCAGGTGTCCCAAGCAGCAACCTAGCCCACTGCACTACAGAGCACACCTGTTGGGCTCTTCTTTTGCCTTGCCTCTTGGACAGATCAGCTTTGAACAGTGCAGCCTGGGTATATGGCTCAGGGGCTGTACTGTTCTGTGTGCTTTGCCTACCTTTCTGTGAGGAACAAGAGGACCACAGAGCCTCAGGAAACAAGAAAGTATGTGCCACGACCAAGATCCCCATCCACCCCTGGAGTATCCACAGTAGCTACTAAGCCACATCTTTTTATGCTCAGCAAGCATTTGAATCGGATTGATCCAGTTCTCCATCTCCATCTCTGATGTATCTATGGCTTCAGCTTTGGTCCCCCATTCACAAACTGGTTGTTGTGACCCTCCCTTTGATTTTGCACCCTAGTCCATTAAACCCAAACACCCTTGCTGGGTCCCCTCTCTCCCCCTCCCTCACTCCAGAACTTCTCTGAATTGCTCATTTCTGTAAGGGCACCACCATTCTCCCTAGAATTAGGGCCCACAGCTTTGCTGTCAGTTACATGTGCTTCCGGTCAGCTACCAAGGAATATTCATTATGCCCCGTAGGGGGCTTCCCATCCACCTCATCCTCTCTGTCCCCCCAGACAGCTCCCTTGTTTGGCCTCTTAGGCCCACACCCTCAACCACTGAAACACTTCTCTAACCAATCCTGAGCTCAGACTCTTTCCCACATCCATTTTGATCACTCAGACCCTGCCATTCTGCCTATTAAATAGTTTAAATGTCCTTCCTGGCTGTCAATTTCCTATACAACCTGCTGCCGTTTTTGTCTTGAAAGCAGTGTATGCGCTCAGCTGAGGCATGCTCACAGTTTGCACAGGAGCTTGGCCAGTACAAACCATAGAAGCCTGGACTGGTTGGGCACAGTCTTTCCATTGGCTAAAGCTCTAGGTGTGGTGCTGGTGCCATAGTATAGTGGCTAAAGCCACAACCTGTGGCGCTGGGTTTAAGCGGCTGCTCCACTTCTGATCCAGCTCCCTGCTAATGCACTGGGAAAGCAGGCCCAAGTGCCTGGGCCCCTGTACCCATGCAGGAGACCCGGAGGAAGCTCCTGGCTCTTGGCTTCAAATCAGCTCAGCTCTGGCCATTGCAGCCATTTGAGAAGTGAATCAGCAGATGGAAGATCTCTCTGTCTGTCTGTCTCTCTGTCTCTTAACTTGGCCTTTCAAATAAATAGATAAATATTTAATAATAATAATAATAATAAAAACTCTAGGTGTTTGCAGCTCGGGCCAGCTCCCATGGCCCCTTAGCTGACTCTGAGCTTCAGTAATTCTCTGCATCTCCTCACTTCCTGCCCGCTTCCGGAGCCAGACTTGAAGGTTCTATCCTGCAAGACTGTCGCTCCTCCAGCCTATTGTCACAGTGCCATTGCTCACAGAAGTTTCTGATACTCAACAAACAATGCAATAAAGCAGTTACAGCACCAGAACTCCTGGAAGCACAGGACAAAGCCGTTAGTGGTCACCCTTCGGTGGTCACCAGTCAGCCACAACCCAAGAGCCACTCTGCTGAAAGCTTTACTTACCTGTGACAAGTGAAGGGGATGGCAGGAAGGTATAGTTCCCTAAAACAAACCACAACAACAACAACGAAGACAACCTGCCTCTCTGAGAAGGGCTTTGCCGGGGCTTTTGCTGCAAGGTTCGGGGAATGCTGAGTATGTAGAAAAAGGGGGAGCTTCTGAGCCCATCCTGCTCAGGCAACAGACATAGCCATACATTGCGTGTTCAAAAACCCGACAGATGGGTCTCTCGCAGCTTTCCCTGTTAGGGGTCCTCTAGCCCCCCTGCCAGCAATGTTGCAAGATAAGCTTTCCTAGAACAGCCTCTGAGAAACAAGCACAAGCCCTAAACAGTTTGTAGATTCTTTGCCCATGTGCCCCACTCCTGCCTCAACGGGCATTCTTGGTTACAGAACGATGTATCTTTGGAGTCAGCAAGGCAGAAGTAGGTTTTAATTTAAGCAAATGGAGCTCCTCCCCTAGTTTCGTTTTCCTGGTTGAAGCAGTTATGGTACTCATCTTGTTCTGTTCCTGCCTGAGGCTGGGGTCGAAGCTCCCAGCTCTGCCTGGTATCCGCTCTGGAGGTGTTTCTCCTTCGTGACCTGTCTTGGTTAGTTGGGAACACATTGGTTCTGAGGTGACTTCTTATCCCTGCATGGATGTCTCTTCTTTGACCTGATGGCTGTCCTGTATTTTCTTTTTCTTCTTCTTTTTTTTTTAAAGGTTTATTTATTTATTTGAAAGTCAGAGTTACACACAGAGAGAAGGAGAGGCAGAGAGAGAGAGAGAAAGAGAGGTCTTCCATCTGCTGGTTCACTCTCCAGTTGGCTGCAACAGCTGGAGCTGTGCTGATCCGAAGCCAGGAGCTTCTTCCAGGTCTCCCATGCAGGTGCAGGGACCCGAGGACTTGAACCATTTTTTACTGCTTTCCCAGGCCATAACAGAGAGCTGGATCGGAAGTAGAGCAGCCTGGTCTCGAACCGGCACCCATATGGGATGCTGGCAATGTAGGCGGCGGCAGCTTTACCCACTGTGCCATAGCGCCGGCCCCCCTGTATTTTCTTTATGACTAATAATGTTTCCAACTAATCTGTACCAAAACCAGAAACTGCAGTTATCATTGACAATCTCATCTTTCTCTAACCCACCGTGTCCCATGTTGGAGCCACTCTTTAAAAGTTGTTTTTATAGTGTCTCCATCCGGGACCCACTGACCCAGCAACAGCCCAGGTCCTCATCACATTCCCCCAGGACCAGTGGAATCACCCACAGGTGACAGTGTTGCTACCCAGCTCACTGCGCACTCCACTCCTTTCTCCTTACCCTGCCCTTTGTGTTCATTTGTCAGTATTTTCTGTATTCCTTCCTCTCTTCAGTTCTCTTGATGCAGTGTAACTAGTTAGAGTTTAGGCCTGTTGGAACTCTTCTATACCTGCAAAATCCTGCTGTCTCTTTAAATGTCAGTTTGATATGCCCACCTTCCCAGGATACACCTGTCCCAGTGGGGACCAGGGTGCATGCTCAGACCCCACCTTTATATTCGATTAGGGGTGGGTACCTTCCCCTTCCTCATAAAAAGAATGGAAGGTGGGAGAGAGCTATTTTCCTTTTTTTTTTTTTTAAGATTTATTTATTTATTTGAAAGTCAGAGTTACACAGAGAGAGGGAGAGGCAGAGAGAGAGAGAAAGAGAGAGAGAGGTCTTCCATCCACTGGATCATTCCCCAGATGGCTCCCATGGTGGAGCTGTGCCAATAGGAAGCCAGAAGCTTCTTCCGGGTCTCCCATGCGAGCGCAAGGGCCCAAGGACTTGGGCCAACTTCCACTGCTTTCCCAAGCCATAGCAGGGAGCTGGATCGGAAGTGGAGCAGCCGGAACTCGAACTGGTGTCCATATGGGATACCAGCACTGCAGGCAGTGGCTTTACCCCTTTTGCCACAGCGCCGTCCCCGAGAGAGCTGTTTTCTACTGCCAAGTGTACTCGAGTGTGCAGCTTTCGGTTTCTGTCTTTCCACTGCCTACTGGACGAATCTCTCCCACTCTGTCTCAGAGGTACTGGATCCATTTTTTTTTCCTCTCTCTAGTTTTCCTCTCTAGGTTAGCGTAGCCTACACGTGCGTGTGAATGTGTGTTTATTCCTGCACTGTTAAATAAATTCTGTTCCTATTTGTATACTGTACTAGTGTCCGCTTAATGTTTCCACCTCTGCAGGAGACAGGAACCTGGATGGGACATGAATGTATTCATTGCCCACATGATTCTGTACATTCACAGCACGTCTCCACCTGGAGCATCCCAACTCAAAACTGCTGCAGACCCTCGTCGGAACACGGTGAGAGATGAAAGCAAGTAAACACCAGGGACTGCCCGGGAACAGAAGGCTACTCCTTCCTCCAAATTGGGTTCACTTGCCTCATTTCCTTTCTGATCCTTGAGAAGCAGGGCGGATGGCTCCTTCCTGGTGCCCTCTCTGGACTGGGATCAGACACTGGCCGTCTCTCACATAGTGTGAGAAGTTCACTGAATATAGGCAGACAGGAACCAGTCTTACTCATCCTCTGTTGTTCCTTTCCAAATGATCTTGACCTCCGTTTGACTACGCATCTCCTGCACTGCACTTCTGGAGCTCATCCTGATTACTCAGTGCTTGGAAGAGAAAGGCTTTTTCTGGAAGCCAAGGGTTCTTCCTCACTTGGCTTTAAACCATGAACTTTTTGTTGCCCCCTGTCCCGCATGATTCCTTGTGACCATATCTCGTTGTTCTCCAGCGTCCAGACTATGTCTAATTGGAGCATAGGTTCTTGCTCTTGGTCTGGTTAATGGTTTATAAACTTTACTAGTGAGTTGGTGGAATATGCAGACTTCTGGGTCTTTCCTCCAAAATTGTGGTTAGTATACAATTGCTTTTACAGTGTCTATCTGTGCTTTCCTGTTCACATCTGGGGTAGAGACAGGGTAGCCCTAGCCTTACCAGAGAGCATGAACCTTGGTCAGCTTTTCTCTGATTGGCACCACTCACTCACAAACCAATCCTGATGGCCAGTTTCAGGTATAGAACGAAGCCATTTAAGATGTTGATTTGTCTGCATGACTAAACACAAAGGGTTTAACACTTTTAATCAAATTCAGAGAATTTAATTTGGTTCTCTGTAAGCAGAATAAGGAGGTGATAATATCTGGGCCTCAAAAAATTTGAGGAGAAAGAAATATAATCATGAAGTATCCTGGTTCAAGAAGAACAACACCACATTGACAGGATAGGTACAAACATTACCGGGATCAGCCCACTAAGCTGCGCAGTGCAGAGGGCTATGCCATTGTATTTAACACGTGGAAGCCCAGCAAGAATCCAGAGCTGCATGTGTTGAATTGGTCATGGGAGTTGCTGGGAGTGCTTATAAAAAATAGAGATTGTAATCAGTAGGTCTGGTGGGACTTTATATCAAATATAAAGATCTGTATTTTTAACAAATTCTCCAGGTGATTTCTCTTGCTGAAGCAAGCCAAGAAAACAGTGTTCCAAAGAAACAAGTCAAATCACTCTGTGGTAGTGAGAATAAGCAAGCATCAAAGCCTAGGTAGGGATTTATACAGAGACTGATCAAGAAGGTACAAAGCCCTCAGGAAACTCCAGTTTACTGGATGCTAGGAACACACACACACACACACACACTAATTGCTGTATAATCTGGTCCAGTCTTTTAAACTGTCTCCTTAGGGTTAAGTCAATGCTTAGGGATAATTGCTTAGACTTCAGAATGCTCCGCCTTTTCTTGGAACACTGTCTAAGGTGGTCTCTGGATAATGGAGGAGTGGCTCAAGGCATGGGGAGAAGGGGACTCCTGACCTGTCGCTGGACCTTCAGTGGACTCTGTCACCTGCTGACTGGGCAGCCTGGTGGGTTTTTGGTTGCTCTCTTTTTTTAACCTGTAGTGGCCCTGGGCCTCCTTCTGTTGACCCACCTGTTCCTGGCCTTCCCTGATAGGCAAATCACAGTTTTTCACATTTGCTGTGTGTGACCCTGGCCCTATAGCTTCTCTAGGATTATCTGCCCTGCTTCCTATCCTAGTCCCATTATGTCAGGGCCTACAGTCCTCAATCTACTATGCATGCTACACAGACACTGCAAAGGTTTCCCTCCTTAACTGTTCTCTCCACCCTCCCACCTGTGCTAGGCCTCTGTCTGTAAGACAGTAGAGTGGGAAGAGGCCCTCAGCCAGGATGTCCATCTCAGCCTTCCACAGGTTCTGCACTAATCCACGGGGTGGGAACTCAGGTTCCAACTTCTTACTCTCTCCTTCCCATAACCCTGCACCATGTCCACCACCTACAATCCACATAGCGTTTCTTTGACTTTCTCTTCTTGTTTTCCCAGGCCTTTCCTTATACAAAACCATCACTGTATTCTCTTGGCCAGCTTCTTGATTAAATTGGGCAAAATTGATATAGAAAACTCTTCTCTGTGGCGATGTTGGCTTCTCCAGCTTATCATCTTGCTATAAATTCCTAACTGGGATGTCAGTGGGGCCTTTTAAACTTTCCCCGAACTCCTCAAACAGTCCTGTCTCCCTTCCATCCATCAGCCCCTTGTCACAGTGCCAGCTTTGGCCAACTAATCTGTCCTAAAGAGGGGCAAGATTACATACTCACAGAGGTGAAAAATCTAGTAACTGTTTAGAAATGTTATCTGATAAACCTGATGAAATAGGAAGCATTTTTCAGCTTGCCGTCTCAAGGTGACAGTTTGTAGTTCCTACATCTTCAGTTGATACTAATAGTGACAACATTTTGATATCAGATTTTGCTATTTTCTTTTTTTTTTTTCTTCCAAAGAAAATTCTTTACAGAGATTACCCTCATTTTCTCTGATAGGTGTGAAGTCATGGAAAGGGCATGAAATCTGAAGTCAGATCACTTAGATTTGAATTCATGTCCCTCCAGCTTCTGGGAATAAGTCACATCACATCTAGGAAGGGACAGTGGTGAACTTCCTGGCGTGTTTGTGAGGATTAAGTGAAATATAGCATTGCAGATCTTTTAAAAAGATATTTATTTATTTGAAAGGCAGAATGACAGGTGGGAGAGAGATCAGGGGAGAAGGAGAGATGAATCGTCCATTTGCTGGTTCACTCCTTAAATGGCCACAATAGCCAGGGTTGAGCCAGGCTGAAGTTAAAAGCCAGGAACTCCATCCTGGTCTCCCACATGGGTAGCAGGGACCCAAGTATTTTGGCCATCATCCACTGTCTTCCAAGGTGCATTAACAGGAAGTTGCATCACAGTGCCAACCACCTAGTATTGTAGATCTTTATAAAAACATAAGTTCTATTTGATGCATAGTCGTGTCACATCAAGGTCACGGGCACAAGTGAAAAGTTTCTGGGAGTCACCCTATCCCTTTGGTTCCCATTGCTCTCCACCAGTTCCCTGATGCCAAATCACAGGCACCCTCAGGACTCTTGTATTTAGCTTAGGCTGCCTGGAACACCTTCATTGGAGAGGCCTCAGGCCTGGGGCTTTTTTTTACCTCCTGTTTCAAATAATACTTAACTTTTGAAAATACTATTTCTTGGCCCCAGATAGATCTATCTGATAGATTAGCTAGTTTAGGATTTTTTTATGACAAGTGACAGAAACACTACTGAAATAAACTTAAGCAAAATAATGGGAAATAACAGCTCAAGTAGCCTGTTCTCACCTCCCCAGTACCTAATGACTTTTGCCATGTCTGTTTTCTGCTTCTCTCTGCATTATGTTCTTTTGATGTCAGATACACCCCTTTGTTTTGCCCCATGAGTGCCAGACTGACATCCCTCAGCCTTGAAACCCAAGGTAAAAGATAGGTTCTCATTCCTGGTAGCCATGAAGAATGTCCCAATATTCCTCACTCATGTCTCCTACCCAACTCCAAACCAATTATTGTAGACAAGAAGAGCAGAGTGGAATGGGTAACCTTGGCTAGCCTGGGCAGCAGCAGACATAGGCTCTGACAGTGATTCCTTCAACAAAAATCACGGTGTTTTTAGTGGACGTAAGAACACAAAAGAAGGGAAAAATAGCAAATACCACCATACTGGCTAACATAAAAGAATTGGGCCAGTGCGCTGTATTTTCCAGGGTGTTCATCCCCTTAATGCTGTGGAATGCATGAGTCTCTGTTGGTAGTTCTGCCCCATTGGAAAGTAGCTTCAGAAATATACAAGGTCCATGAACATAGTTTCCCCAGATATATGGGCAGGCATGCTTTGTAGACAAGTGTAGAAGGTATTTAAATCCAGCTGGGATGGAAAAGGTACAAAGTTTTCCTTTTCAGAAGATTCTATGGCTTTACTATGTCCCTTCTAAAAATCAGGTGTTGCCAATGTGATAGCACTAAGTTTGTAGGGCCAGGGAGCTCCTTCCTCAGGAATGGGGTTGAGGCCAGGCCCTTATAAAAGAGGCATCAAGGTAGCTTGCTGGTTTGCTCTTCTGCTGAGTGAGGACACAGTGTTCCTTTCCTTTGGAGGATAAAGCTCCTACCAGACAGCTGAACCTGCCAGTGCCTTGATCTTGAACTTCCTCACCTTCAGATCTGTGAGAAATAAATTTTTGTTCTTTATGAATTACTCTGTCTCGGGTATTCTGTTACAGCAGTACAAAGTGCTGAGACAGAAGATTATCATTGCTGTCATTGTTATCCATTGTGTGCCTTTTTATTTTGCTTTATGGTGGGTCCCTAACAGATGTTTGGCATATGGAGGGAACTCATTATGTGTTTGTCAAGCAAATGGACAAATAAATGAATATAACTTCATTGTAAGTATCTAAGATATGCTGTAGTAAATTTGTCAGGTCCTCTGGAGTTTCATTTACTTTAAATTTTGTGAGGGTAGTGGATGTATTCTGTCCCATGCTGAACATCTCATGGTTATGTAATCACAATTCTCTCCATGTAATCTAATGTTCCAGAGGAATTAAACCATTAAAATAGTCCTTCATGGATTAATACCCAATTGAAGACAAACATGCCAAAGGTAACAGCAATTTCATTCCCATGTTAGGAAGAAGATTGCTTGAATTGGTCTCTAGTGCTATGTTTTTGTTATAAGTATCATTATTTTCAATTTTTAAGCCTGCAGGATATTGATTTAACAGAGATTGTTGCAAAACTTCCAGCATCAAATTTATATTTGCTGAAAAGTAGTGCATTTCTTAACCTGAATCTGCTCTCTTAGACTAAAAACACTGGTATTGGATGAAGGCATAATCACCTTTAACCTTTGGATTGCCTAAAGGTGTCTGGTGGGACATTGACTTATCAGTGACATATCACAGTACAATAAAACTTAGACA